ACCCACTAGATGGCGGCATATCATTAGAATAGAGTTGTTCGATCGATAACTCGGAGCTCTGCTGCCTTTTCTCTTGATCATAAATGCTAAATTCAATACAGGTCTCGATTCGTCAGGGCTGCTCGTGAATGGGAGTCGGCTGTTTTCAGGTGTTTTACAGATGTCTTCAAATTCATACAGTGATGCCGAATTCATATACTGACCGGGTAATCCTCATTTTTCGCTGTCATAACAGTTCTGTCGTATTTCATACATTAACGTTCCAAAAACAAAGTTATTGCTGTCAACCGGTTAGTTAGCTTAAGAGGCTAACATTAGCTAGCATATCTAAATACAAGTGTAGTTACAAATGCACATATGGATAAGATATGTTGGCTATCGCAAGAAAAATCAGCTGCGTTGCGTTTGAAGTAACAACTGCTAATAAAACGCTGCATTAATTTAGTGGTAAATGGCAGGTATAGCAAAATAAGACGACTTATCAATTTAATGATATAGCTGCTTAAATTAGCTAGCTGAATTGATACGACACTGAAGTTAGCTTCTGATACGACAGTTCATTTAATTAGATTTGGCAAATTTGATCCGGATTAACAAGAAGAGTGTAAAGACTACTTAAAATAGTATTAATCTTTGTTAAGTTGCGTTCAGAGTCTTTATGTTACTTTACATTTTCTAAGTCTAAATATTGTTGTATTGAGCTATATGTGGTCTGGGTGGATCGAAAGCGATTAAATGGTTCTTTTTGTGTTTTCATAGATAGAACAAGTCTAATCTGAAATCGCATTTTAAAGTCTTTGTATTCTCCTTGTGTAGATCTGAAAAGTCGAAATCTGTTGCGTTTTGATGTAGATGTGGTCTTAAATGAACTACTGTAGATGGTGGAAAGTAGTGAAGTTGACATTTTCTTCAAAACACATGCTTCACAGGTCCGAGCATGGGTTGCAAACAGCTGTAAGGCTTTGACCAGGATATCTAGCATCGTTTCATAGCATTAGGAGGAGAAAAACGGAGAATAGTTCTAACGTTCACCTTAAATGTTGAATTCTAAGCTTACTTCAGTTGATAGCTATCTTAAAAGCTAGTTTCTGGCTAAGTTAGTCAGCATCCACTGGTTGACGTCGGGGTCGTAATACTTCTACAGTCACATCCAAGTGATGGTGAGTCTTAGCTGTTCATTAGCTGTGCGATGCGATGTAGGGCTAATGCTTAGCTCACACTGTCATGCTTCCGCCTGTTGTGATCACATGATGAGGTGGAAAGTGTGATGAGTCCCCTTCTGCTTTTTCCTCTGCATTTGACCTAAAATGGCATGCATTGCAAACTCAAAATCTATAGCTTTCTACAAAAGGTAAGTGTAGATCTCCTCCTTTACACGCAGTAATTAAATAATCGGAAGTGTCATGTATGTAGCGGCTGTGGCATAGACAGCCCGCGCAGTAATCATCCGGGCAAGCTGTCCTCGGAGCCGGATCAAACATTAGATATTTTAGATTTATATCATAGAGGCAATGTGTAGTTTACTGGAAAACATGTCATACCCCTTTTGCTGCAAAATATTTAGGATTATTAAGAGGTTGCAGTAAATGTCTTCTTCATTTGTTGTGATAGTTCAAGAAGTGAAATTGTCATTATGAATACTAAAGTGATGATGAGATATTCTGAGCCCTGGAGATGTCAGTGTTTTAACAGTTCATATTAATAGATGCTGTCACTCCTATATGACAGATTGGACTCCTGGGCACAGGCAGGTTAAAGGCCTATCAGTTGTTTAGTGTGTCTTTATGGGAGTACTGCATCATTTTATGATAATTCTGGTGGCTTTTGGTTTTATTTTGATAGTCCTGGGTTTCTTTGCAGTCCCTTTGTGTCTCTGTATGGTCTTTTTTTCTGCCTTAGTTTTGTGTCTGTTTTGAGATGGTTTTGCATCTTTTTGTGCTAATCTTTTAATTTTCTGTGGCAATTTTTATTAAGTTTGTTGTGATTTTGCACCTATTTGTAGTGGTTTAACTGAGTTCTGTTATTTTATGACCTTTGGCCTGTCCCGCTATATTGTTCTATGTTGTACTTATACTTGGAGTTTAATCAGCATGTAGGTTTTGGAACTACAGTTCCTATCATTTGGAGGCTGTAACCAGAGTATTTAGTACAATGTTACCATGAAATCAGTCAGTTATGCTCTGTACTACAAACTGAGCCCAGTTTCTTAGCCTGTATTTCTGGACAATGTAATAAACTGGCAGCATTAAACTTATGACAAATTAGTTAGTAGCAGTTCATTGTTGCATATCACCTGTGGCTACACAAACAGCTATCACTGGATTATCAAAATAATCCAGTGATACTGAAGAAAGCTTAAAAACATGCTAACCAAAATGTCAATAATAAACATATAGTTAAATAAATACTGCTCTGACAGTGTCAATCAAAGCCATTTTATGTAAGACAGGGTACCTAATATATTGGCCACTGGGTGTATTGTTTTTATACACATAATGTTAGTTCTAGTGCCTGATTATGTCTCAAATTTTACAGAAGAATTTGTTTCTAATAAATGTACAGTAGTCCACATCAAGAAGTAAGCTTAACATTAGTAGCATCTGTGATTTAAGTTGACACTGAGCAAATGACCATTTAAAGCCAGTCGATCAGTTACACCTGTTTAAATTGTTCTTTATCTTGCCTGCCAGCAGGAGTAGCGGGGACATGGCTGCTGATGACAAGTCCTCGTCATCATCCTCAACGGACTGGAGCTTTGAGCCTCCGGTCATCTCGCCCACCAGTCCCTCCCACCTGACCCACTTCAAGCCACTGACTCCGGAGCAGGATGAGCCTCCACTCCGCTCTGCATACAGCTCGTTTGTCAACCTATTTCGTTTCAGCAGCAAAGGTCAGAAGCGCCTACACACATCTAGATGAAGTTATGGATGTTGCTTCATTATATACCAGTGTTTTGTTTGCTGCAACCTTTAGCCAATATTTGTTTTACATGCTGGCAAATTGGCACTGGGTCTTTATTAAAACCATAGTCAACAATGAAGTTTTGCTTGCTGTAATAATTTGTCCTGTTCATAGCAAAGATGTTTGCCTAATATGTATCCAGTGTAAGTGATGGAGAACACAATCCATAGTCCTCGCCCTGTGCAAAAATACTTTTATTTGAAGTTAAAATGAGGCTTCAGCAGTCTGAGTCAGACACAGCAAACCTCCAGTAGTCCAACCAAAAGTGCAGCAAAAAGTCATCTGGTCTATGTGAAGCCACTCATGGTGAATTTCTGGCCTGAAATGTGTCACTGTTAGGGGAATGACACAGTTGTGCCCTAGTGTATACAAAGAAGTAAGAATAAGTGAATTGTGATGAGAGCTGGGTTCAACTCCCAAGTATTTAGAAGAGTTCAAATAAGTTTTCTAACCCAGTTAGGAGTCACAGGTAGGTGGCTGTGTTGTATCACAGACTGTCCAAAATGATAGACATGTTTTTAAAATGATGTTTAGGAAATGTATGATGAATTTATCTGTCTTAATACACACACAGCATGAATCAGAATCAGTTTATTGGCCAGGTGTAATAAGGCTGTGTAATATAACAAAATAGCAGTATTAACATGGGTCTGCAGTGATCCTCTCTGCCCTCCTTTTGACCTGTGAGGTGTACAGGTCCTCCATAGAGGGCAGGCTCACACCAATGATCTTTTCTGCAGTCCTGACTGTCCACTGAAGTCTGTACTTGTCCTGTTTGGTTGCTGAGCCAAACCATACAGTGATGGAGGTGCAGAGAACAGACTCGATGATTCCTCTGTAGAACTGTATCAGCAGCTCCTGGTGCAGGTCAAACTTCCTGGAGCTTTGCACTTTGTACTTTGTACCAATGTACCTGAGTCAAATTCCTCATGTGTCCAACACACCTGGCCAATAAACTGATTCTGATTCTGAGTATGAAAAAGGTGAATTAAATTCCTGGTTTACATGATCGATTCTGCTTGAAATCAATCATGTGATGCTGCCCAGTGTGTGCATGTCTTATGTACTGTATAAACACACTGAAATGACAAATGTATTCTAAAATAATAATAATATATAAACTTGTTAGGATATGCTTTTAAGAAAATGCTCAATGTTAAAGTTACTCTGAGGCAGAGTGGGCTGACAGACATCATGATGTGATGGTGAGCCGGCATTGTGACTTAAATACCCATCATCATCTGCCAGTTCAATAGACATTGCCCATCCCTGCACCGAAGTCTCTCTGGCCACTGCAGCTAGATTGTTTTTTGTTTTTTTTATTATACACGAGTCAAAGCTTTGTAGCATTTCTTAGAAGTCTCACACAAACCGGCACAGAAGTGTGAACATTGTCATGTTTGACTGAATCTGGTGGTTTGACAGAGATGAGGTAATGTAGTGCAAACTCAACTTAAAAAACAGACATTTTGACCTTAATTTCTGATGCTTGAAAGTTAAAATAAACAACAAAGCAACCATTAACTTTGTCCTTTAAACTGAACTAAGCTGCCACCAATTCAAACAGCATTATTTGTTAATGTTATGAGACAGATCACTGAATAGAACTTGATTTGGATTATATTTTCTCACTTGTTACTGTAAACAAAGCAGAGTAAACCTATAAGACAAAAACACACCAGACCTCACAGTGAGCTGAAACCTGTACTGAGCAGTATCTCTCAGAGGTTTACTACATACAGGGAAGTTAACTACAAGTTGTGGAGTCATGTGATAGAAACTGTTGGTGCCAAGAAGCAGAGAGCCACATGACTCATGTAGCCTTGACTCTGAGCACCAGCCCCCCGTGATTATTAAAGGAGCACTGCACTTTATTTGACTTCTGTTGGAATATATAGAAACAAAGTTATGTTAAATTTCTTGTGCTATACAAGTTATGGTGAGTTAACAGTGTTATTAAACAGGCTGGTGCACAGATGAGCAAAAACTAAAATGGCTCTTTAAGTTTGGATGAGTTTAAGTTTGTTACTGTTGTCACCTGTAAAATGACTAAATGTTATGGTATTGATTTCCTTGGAACTACTGTATATAGCCCATAAATCATAATGTAGACTAGGTGAGTTGCTTTTCTACTGTAGGAGTGTCTCAGCAGCACTCTGGGCCTGACTTGTCTGAACATATGGTGTCTTGTGGGCTCCTGCAGGATGGACATATTATATACCTGACATAATAATAAACATTTCATTCTTTAATACTTTCAGGGCTGCAGTTAATCTTAGGCTGTTTTATCAGTTGATATTTTGTTTATCTCCTTAGTATTAAAAAGGTTTTGCATGTTTCAGATTCCTTATTTTGACAAAATGGCCAAAGTTATAATTTGTAAAACAAAAAAGGTGTGAAAAAAATTCTCCACCTTGTAGAAGCCATGAAGCCTTTGTCCATGCCCAGTCTGATGGGTCCAGCACATCTGGAGTAAAGACCAGTGCCAGCTGTTAGCCTGGTAGCAGGTCTGCTTGATGTACTGCCTCAGTGCTGCCTGTTTGGGGGGGGATGTTTTCTAATGTTCAGGACTTATATGTGAAGAGATGGTTCCTGGCATCATTTGCCAGCATGCTGTCACCTGTTCTGTCATACATCTTTTGGAGGTGGGCTACCTTTCCATGGCCCACGGGGTATAAATGTTGTTATCAAAATAATTATGATATGACATGAATAGAAACATCAAACCATACAAAAGTATATGCAAGTATTTTAGACCTTTTTCCACTAAAGATATTCAAATATTATTACACCACAGAAGCGTATTTGACTTGCAGATGTGTTGACCACAGGTGACTCTCTCTTTTTTTGTGTGTGTGCGTAGAGGAGGGGCGACCTCCCTCAACAGTTTCAGAGAAACCCGATATGCCATCCCCTTCTCAGTCAGAGAGGAGCAGCTGGTCGTCCAGTCCTACCCGCTCACCCTATCCCACGAGGACACACAGGAAACAACATCCTGAACACCTCCGACGCACCTCCTCTGCCTCCGGTAAAAAAAACAAAAAACACAGAGAGTGAAGGTGTTGCCCTCTGAGGTTAATATGTGTTTCATCAGATGGTGAAGTTGTCTCCAATAGGAAGCAGGTTTGTGATAGATTCCAAGAATTTTTTCAGCTACAGGTGAAAGTATGACTAGTCAGTTTTGCCGAATGTGTCCAGATCTTGAAGTAGGATGATCTTGCATACACAATCCAAACGACATGGTCTTACAATATCTGGAATGGGATTAAATGATATATTTTATGACTTTATGTTTATTTTACAAGTCTGTAAAATGTTGCTGCCTTGTACAGACCTACACAGTGGGTTTAGGTGTGATAGGACATTTATTTAATTCCCTCTGGCATTAACACTGCCTATCTTTAATTGTCTTTTGCTTTACACATTTGTTGATTGAAATGTCTGTTACTTAAAACTTTGCTGGTTCATTTTGCATCCTCTCTCTTGTAACAAATACATTAAGGTCACTGATTAGACATCAAACTTAAAGCTACAGGATGTAACTTAAGGTAGCACTAGCATGAAACTCCATATAAACCCAGTCTGTTCCGCCCAGCGCTCCCTCTCCCTGCTCCACTGCAATCTGCTATGCTCTGTCACACTCTGCCCAGCTCTTCAGATATTTGTCCTTTATGAAGTTTACAATAAACGAGAATGCAGTAAAACTTACTGATGAAGCAGAAATAATTGAAAATCTTTGATTGGTTAGAGAGGTTAGTCCCACTCAGAACCTTTTAGAAGATAATGTCTCTGCACTGCTGCCAGTGCTGTTCAGTGAGTCTGGGGCACAGGAGGCTTCGACAGCACCTCTCCACATTACAACTGGTTTTGGAGCAGATTTCTACATTTATAAGGCACAATAGCACCATTTGCAAGGGTGAGAGATCTGTAAATCAAATTAAACATCAAAACACTGAAGAAGCGAAACATGTTTTAGAGTGGAATTGAAAATTCAGTGAATTTCAGACACTCCAGTCATTATTTTGTCGACATAGGAAAATAAGCTTGTTCTGTGTGAGTCAATGTTTTGTAGTATTCTGCTCCAGGAAGATAGTTCAGTGTCAGTATTTCTCCACATGGATCAAACCTTCTTTTTTAAACAGATGGGGACAGGCTGGAAAAAATCTGCTTACTTTTCAGAACAGAGGATTTTGCCAGTAATGGAGCAGACTTAAATACAAACAGGATGTTGGGGTTGAAAAATATTTACTGCTGAAGACATCAGAAAGCTGATTGCATATGCAGGCTGTAACATCCACTCTCATGTCTTTTCTGATTGCAGTGGATTGGCCAGGTGAGGGTCTTCTGCACTGTGTGGTTTAATACAGATGCTTTTAGCTTGACTGTAACAAGCTAGCCTTAAACTGTTTGTGTGTGTCTGAGTGCATGCAAGTGTGTGTGTAGGTTTTGATATTTGCATTTTCAACGAGCCTCTTCTTCTTAGCCTTTTGTTTGCCCTAATTTTTTCCACTCAGGTACTAATAATTGGAACGATGTTTGTCATGAATGATTTTATAGCTAACAGTTTATACTCATGTTTTTGTTTCTTGGCCAGTTTTTTTTCTTGGTTGCATCATGTGTTCTTTTATACACATTTCCATTCAAGTTTTAAGGAAGTTATAATTAGGTGGTTAAGTGCATTGTCAAGTGTTTAGTTGTCATCTTTAAATGCACTATAATGAAGTTCACTTAACTTACTGTCAGTATATTTTAAAATAAGGCATGTTTGACAATGCAGCTGGGCACAATTTAAAGAGCGAGTAGGCTTTTATCAGTCATCATGTTCATTTGTGCGCTGTGTGTGTGACCGTAGATGGCCGCAGGAAATCGGACACCCCTTTAAGCAACCACGACCCTCGCACAGCTGTGCAGCTTCGCACTGCACTGAAGAGGCTGAAGGAAATCATGGAGGGAAGGAGCCAGGTATTCACAGCTCTCCATTTGTTTTTGTTTTCATTTTAAGCTCTTGAATCTGCAGTCTGCAGCCCCAACATGCTTTATTCTTCATTATCTGTGCTTCAGCAGATTTAATGTGAGATAAAATAATAGTTACTACAGTGAAGTCCCAGCTTTACTTTGAGTAGGAATACATCAGTATTGAAAGAGCTCAGTAGGAGCTGAAGCCCTTCTAACACTTAGTTCCCAAAGTGTAGGAGTCCAGAAGTAACTGGACAGTCACACAAAATCGTCAGGGTTAATATTTTGTGGAACATCCTTTGCAGTTAATGACTGTCTGAAGTCGTTAGCTTTGCTTCAGCTCTAGCTTGCTGTGGAGTCAGTTAGTTTGTGTAGCTGCACACGTACAGCACGTCTCTGTGGGTAAAAACTGTGTACTGTGGTTGGTGTCCCCCTTCAGGACAGTGATCTGAAGCAGTACTGGATGCCTGACAGCCAGTGTAAAGAGTGTTATGACTGCAATGAGAAGTTCACCACCTTCCGCCGTCGCCACCACTGCAGACTGTGTGGCCAGATCTTCTGCAGCCGCTGCTGCAACCAGGAAATCCCTGGGAAGTTCATGGGCTACACAGGTAAGTGACGTACTCAAGATTTATTTATTATGTCTTAACATAATTTCACTGCTGTGAAAAACCCTGAAAAATCAACTGCCTTTTAACATAAGGCGTCTCACGTCCACCTCTCTTGACTTGCCCTGTCTTTGTCTCCTCCTGGACATCTTCCCTGTGTATCTAGGAGACCTGCGGGCCTGTACATACTGCCGTAAAATAGCACTAAGCTACGCCCACTCAGCCGACTCGGGCTCCATTGGAGAGGACCTGAGTGCCTTGTCTGACTCTCCCTCTTCAGTGTGTGTGCTGGAGCCCAGTGAGCCTCGGACCCCTGTGGGTGGGCGCAAGTCCAGCAGGAACATCTTCCTAGAAGAAGACCTGAACTGGCAGAGGTGGGTCAAATCAAATCAAATGGATTTTTTTTTTTTTTGAGTCTAAGCTTTTATTTTTTTAGTTCACCAGTCCAAATAGAAACAAGTTCATATTATGTTTTGAGACTCGGTATCAGTCCTGCTTGTTCACTGATTGCCAATTTGGTTTTGTCCAAACACAAGCAGAAAGAAAGCACTCGCTCTGCATAATGTCTTCAGTATTAGCTTGTTCATGCATCATTCTTTCTTACCTGTACAGGACCTCCAACCACCAAAACTGCAAACATGTGTGGACTTTTTAGGCACTGAAAGTAAAGTCAATATGCTTTCAAAAATAAGGTCATTCATATAGTAATAATAAATAGTTTTTATTTATCACTTCATCCGAAGTGCAGTAAAGAGAGAAAAGCCTACCCCCCCCAGTTCACCTGCACACGGTGTTTTCTACCTGGCAGGTAGGTTGTTCCAGCATCATGGAGAAGCTGCCACAGTTCAGTGGATTCAGGCTGCCTCAGTGTCCCCTGCCTCTTCTGGTTCTGTGGTGGCCAGCGCACCTGCTGCAGGACTCCTGCTTCTTTTGGTCTCTGAACATGGTTTTTTTATGACTTTGGTGGATATTTGTGCTTGGTGTCCAACTGTAGGATGAATCTGGAAGCAATCAGACGCCTCTCTGATGATGATGTTTCAGTTATTAGTAAATGCAGTGGTTTTTGACATGTTAGGAAGCACATGGTGCAGCCTCCTCCATCTGTACTTGCTCTTTCTCCGTCTGGTTTTTCTGCTGTTTAAAATATCTTTGCATGCTTTCTATGTCCTGTACCCTGTGCATGGTCAAGTCACATGAAACAAATTATGCCATATTAAAGTTTAATATTTATATGAGTTGGACCCAACTCTTATGAAGAGAAGTTTAAGCCTGCAACAGCCAATTAGTAAGACTCATTAAGTGAGATGTAAAGAAAGCACAAGGCTCTGTGGGACAGCTTTATACCATGTTACCCAACAGTTTCTATTTATCACAGATTAAAAAAAAAAAAACCATGCACAGAACAGAACAGCCAAATTACTAAAATCTTCAGGGACATGTTTGTTTAAAGGCTCGTGCATGCATTTTATAACCTTGTACTTGATTTCTCTGCTTATTTTCTTTATCAACCTGCCTCAGAAAAAAAAAAATCTGTTTCCTCTTTCTTTCCTGGCGTAGAAAAACTCCTATTGGGATGAGAAAGAAGTGAGTCTTGCTGTTTGTTCTTTCACTTTTCATATCTGTCTGTGCTTTAGCGGTCTGTAAGTAAAGGCTCTCTGGTTCTCTAATGAAACGGTCTTCTGCATGCTCATGTTCACTGATCATAAATTTGACATAGAGGAAGTGTAAAGGTTACTGCAGTATGAGGAGGAATCAAAATTTGTCTGTGTGTGTTCATTAGTATGATTCACCAGGAGCCTCAGAACAGTGGCCTCGCTACCAGACTGACGACGCTACAAGAAGACAAATCACCCGCCAGGAAGAGGTCAGTCGCTGCTTTAGGCTTGCATGTAGAGTGTTGCCCGTGGATGGGGGTGAAGTCCCTTACAGTTACAGTAAGTCAATCAAGAAGTGAGAACTGTCCCTGCTTGTCTCTGCCACAGATCTGCCAGTGTGACTAACCTGTCGCTGGACCGCTCTGGATCCTCCATGGTGCCTTCCTACGACAGCTCCATCAGCCCAACAACCAGCAGAGCCATGTTGGGCACCAAGAGTGGCACTAAGCTCGACCATAGCGAGGAGGAGAGGAAGATCCTGCTGGTGGGAACACCCTCATTCTTTCCAGTTCACTGATTTTCATCCCCTTGCTTTATTCCTTTAGAATATTTTTTTCATTGTTTTCTTTGATGCTTCCCCTTTTCATGCTAATCCAATCTTAAAAGAGGAACAACGATAAAGCAGTAAAACAAAACTAGTTGAGCACCGTAACACAGTATGCTATTTCTTGCAGGACTCCTCCCAGCTGAAGGACTTGTGGAAGAAAATCTGCCACAACAACACAGGGATGGAATTCCAGGACCATAGGTACTGGCTGAGGACCTACCCGAACTGCATTGTGGGAAAGGAGCTTGTCAACTGGCTGCTGAGGAATGGCACCATCTCCACCAGGTATCATCTCACCTGACAAACGTGTTGTTTTCTACATTGTATAGCTTTCTTGGTCTTTGGAGGGAACACTTAAAAGTAGTTTGATATTTTGGGAAATTGGTTTATTCACTTTCTTGCCAACTGAAGGTTTCCTCCATTTGTTTTCCTCCTAAGCTTGTTTTATGAGTTGTTTTTCTGAGGAAGGGTGAACCAGTGCAGGTTAACGCTACATAGACAGCTTTGAACTAATGATTATTTCCACTGTTAGTAGATCTTCCACCTATTTTTTTCATTTAATTGGTGAATTGTTGGATTTTGAAAATGTCAGAAAATACAGAAATATGACCTTCATAACTTACTAAGGCCCTAGTTGACATTCAAATTACCCAAAGATATTTATTTTACTTTTATATAAGACAAAGAACGTGAGCAAAAACTTGAATTTGAGAAGCTGAAAACAAAGAATGTTTTTTTTTTTCCAATTAAAAAAATAATTTATGGTTTAGTTTGGGGAAAAGGGGGTGAGGGGCGTCAGTAACACCCATGAGCACAGCATACAGAAGAAAATAGTAAAAACAGTAATAACAGTGGGGAGAAAAAACTCCCTCGGAAGAAACCTCCGACAGACCCCGACTCTTGGTGGGCGGCCTTCTGCCTCGACCAGTCGGGCTGAGTGGATAGAGGAGAGAGAAAAGAAAAGGAAAACAACAAAGACAATAGCAAACAATCAAGCGCTGGGCAGGTGGATGTGGCAGGTGACTGCTCCTCAGAAACATAGAGCTCCAGGGCCAGGGCAACCTGCAGAAAGGTACAGGGAGAGAGGGAGGACACACTACGGGAGAGAGGAGACACAAAGTTAGTAATGTGTAATGGTGGCATATAGAATGGTAAATGGTCTGAGGAGAGGAGAGCAGGAGGGGAGGGGAAAGAAACTCAGAGCATCATGGGCCCCCCCAGCAGCCTAGGCCTATAGCAGCATAACTAAGGGAGGGCTCAGGGTTACCTGATCCAGCCCTAACTATAAGCTTTATCAAAAAGGAACGTCTTAAGTCTAATCTTAAAGGTAGAGAGGGTGTCCGCCACCTGAACTGAGACTGGGAGTTGGTTCCATAGGAGAGGAGCTTGATAGCTAAAGGCTCTGCCAAATGCAGTTCAAATCCAGTATTGCAGATTTTACCATAGCAGAGTTTTTTTTTTTTGCTCCTTATTTAATGTTAACATCTGCTACTTTCTGACCATTTCAGCTATAAATCAACCTGCTTTTACCTCCTGCTGTCTGAAATCA